AGAGATACACAGCAAGTCAGTGGGAAGGCTGGAAGCAGAGCTCAATTCCTTGTCTGCAGGTTCAGAGCCCCGAGCTTTAACTTCTAGACAAGACTTTACCCCTTCGGGCCCCTTCTGCTACACCTGGGCTAACTGGCTCCTGCCCCTTCAGCCCAGATTCAGCTCAGGGACTTCTTGCTTCAGTGCTACTCAGCAGCTGGATCCTCAACAGACAAGTAAAAGCTGAGCTTCTCATTCATTTTTTTTTTTCCCCCCCCTTCGGCTTGTTTTTATCCGCTTCACAAACAAATGCAGGAAAACAAATTGTGATGGCCCCCGGGGATCTCTTCAGGCACAGATAAACACTTAGAGCCTGGTAGGGCTGGCTGCCCTGTGATTCAAGTCATTATGTTAGCTTAGACAAAAGGCAGGGAACAATGCTAGTTTTGGAATACTTTCAAAACTTGCTCCGTTGAGAAAGCTTGCAGGCAGTGTAGCCAGCAGAACTGTGCATGGTTCCAATGCATATTAAGCTCCTAGTTCAGAATAATACCACAAGACAGGTTTTGAAAGAACAACAGCTACTGCTCTGTAACTTTTCTTGTTCTACAAAGAGAGACAGCAACACGCACAGATGCTTCTGAGCTTCCACCAGATCTTGTCATAAATTCAAGAAATCTCAGTCCTGTGGTTCGTACGGCTTGATTCAAGCCATCAAAGATGACTGCAAACTCAATGAACTCAAAGACGACTGCAAACTCATAACTAGGGAAAGGGAACAGAAGTCTAGTGTGTGTGAAAGATTAAAATCAAGCTTTTACTGAAGCCTGAAATTAAATTTCTTTTTTTTTGTTTTTTTAAATCATGTAATAAATGCTAACATGATGTTATTTCATGAGCTTACCCTGACAAGTCTTTCTCATGTCATCGTACTTGTAGCCTGCATCACAAACACATTCGTAGGAGCTTATTAAATTTTTACAGTGAGCTTCTCCACAGATGTCTGCTGATGCTGTGCATTCATCTATGTCTGCAAAACAAGCAATTAAACAACACGACTTCAGATGAGTATAATCACTTCACTGTTTGTGCACTGGTGTGGGGTCAACCTCAAGAGATCCCCCTATTATTTTGGTAACTGAAAAACCAGTATCTTTAAGAATCTGCCTTGAGCGTTAGCTAGCTGGAAGCAGTGACTTCAGGCTTTCAAAACCAGTTGTTGTTTCTTTCTTTAAGCCATTAACCATTATTGGGAAAAGTGCAAAAGTGAACCAGGAGAAAAACTGTAAGCCAAAACAATTCCCACAAAAGCAAAAAGCCCTACTCCATTCAGGGGCTGAAACTGCGGGTTAAAAAGCAGCAAGCAGGAACTGAGCAACAGCAGTATGAATTTTACCAAAACAAAGAAGGAACACGCAGTCTGTGGAGCGTCACAGATTTCTCTTCTCCTTCCTCAGACAGGCAAACAACAATTTTTCATGCATTTGTGAAACTAAGATCTAAATCTGCTGATCTGCAGTGGTAAAGGGGAATTGAGGCAGCCCGATTTGTCACAAAGAACAAGTCACCTCTGAGAGATGTCGTGGGGTTTCACCACGAAGGCAGGCAACGGACTGGAACTGGAGGTCCATAAAAACAAGCAAGTGTTTTTTCTAACATGTGAACTAATACCCAGCAAAACCCTGGTGTTGACAAAACATTTGCAGTATCCTGAGAGTTTAATATTTACTTTTGCTTTCTAGTACATGTTAAAACTACAACTACATGTTACGCTTCCAGTGTACTGGCCTACACTTATTTGCTGCCTTGGTAGTGCTCTGATAGACAGTACTAGGATATTATACAAATATCACAGAATCACAGCATGGTTTGGGTCAGAAGGTACCTTTAGAGGTCACCCAGCCCAACCCCCCTGCAGTGAGCAGGGACATCTTCAACTGGATCAGGTTGCTCAGAGCCCCATCCAGCCTGGCCTTGAATATTTCCAGGGATGGAGCCTCCACCACCTCTCTGGGCAACCCCTTCCAGTGTTTCACCATAAAGAATTTCTTCTTTATATCCAGTCTAAATCTACCCTGGTTTAGTTTAAAACCATTACCCCTTGTCCTGTCACAACTGGCCCTGCTAAAAAGATTGTCCCCATCTTTCCTATAGGCTCCCCATATATACATACATATATATACATACATAGATACAAAACCAAACATAATCGTCAGCCCACCCACCGTCCACCTGACCACGCCAGCTGGCCCCAGAAGACAATTCAAAAGCGAAGCTGGCTCTTCTAAGCAGCTGCTCCCCTTGGAAAGGGATACCGTGTAACCTATACAGTCACCGCTTTAAACAGGGGAAGCAACACAGAAATAAAACCCCGCTCTTTTTGTCTTTTTGCTGGTAGCATTCGTATGTTGTTCAATCAGGTATGCAAACCGTTTAGAAATACGTTGTCCCATCCATCTGGACGAGGTACATACACAGACTTGCCTGTTTTTTCAGGAGATACACGTAACTCCAAGAGCCACCTGTGATCATTAATGAGTCTCTGTCTCAGCATGCAGTTTCTTAACACTTTTAAAATCTCAGTTGCTTAAGTTTTGGTTATGTAAATTCATTCTGCAGTTTCAATCAGATACTTCAGATCCTCGCTTTCTGTTCTCAGCTACGGCATAGAGCAGCTGCCAACCTTCACCGGGGACTTTCTACAGCTATTAATATTCAGTTGCAGTGAACTTATCCACCTGAATCTACCCAAATTCATTGGCTGCTGCCCACGTCCAACTTTAGAAAAATAAATTAAAACAAGAAACACACAGAACGAAAAACAAACGGCTCCTTCGCTACGACACTGTGAGACTGGAAAGAATCACAACAACGCACCTGGCCAGCCCTTCCTCCTCCCAGTGTCAGGACTGATCAGCTAAACCCATCCAGCGCAACCCCGGCCACAAATCCTCTGTGAATCACGCCTGTGTTACGGTACCGGAGAGCGGGACGGGGCGACCACAGACAAGCCCGGGCACATGGTGCTTGGCTGGAGCGCCCAGGACAACCCCAGCAGGGTTCAGCTACCAGCAGCTACCAGCAAAGTCTCTAGGGAGCGAGGGAGAAGACCGGGGCTGCTTGGAGTAACCCAGCCCTCTGAAACACAGTCACAAGCCACTAAGCGCCCGCTGAAGCAAACCGAGAGGCCCAGCAGAGCTTACCTTCACACCTTTTGCCGTCTTTAAGAGCGTAACCACTGTAGCATGAGCAACGGTAGCTGCCAAGGCTGTTGAGACAGAGCTGGTTGCACCCACCGTTCTGTGCCCTGCATTCATCAATATCTGCATCAAAAGAAAAGTGTTACAGTCAGCTTTTCACCTCTGGAAATAATCTGGAGGGTGAGAGTGGGATAGGCGCTGGGAAGGAGAAAGACCAAACAAGAAACACTATTACAGCTGCAACACAGTGATTGCAAAAAGCAGAAAGATTTCATTCAGACACTTCAAGTACACTAGCTTCAGTTTATTTAAAAAAAAAAAAAAAAAAAGACAGAGAAGGAACTGTAACTGAGTATCTCCTTCACAGCTCTGGGAATGCAGAAGAGTATCTTTAGTCACTGCAGAGGTGAAGTGTGTTTGTAGAAGCAAACTAATTATAACCAATATATTTTATATCATAACTAACTTTTAAAATTGTACTCTGACCACTAAGTCCAGGTCAAAAGCTTTAAACAAAACAAGAACAGTATACTCTTACTACTACAGAACTCATGAGAACACAAAAAAGTTTTAAGTTTGCAGCTATCGAGCCCTGGGACAGTGCTCCACTGAAGACAGCAGCACAAAGCCTACAAAATTCAGCAGAGCCTGGATTTCACCCTCGCTGTGCCCTACCTGCTCATTGTGTCCTGCTTGTTTATGGGGCTTCGGAGCCAGAGGATGGGTAGAACAGCACACTCCGTGGCATTTTATAAGAAAAAAGGGGGTATGCTTCAGACTGCCCAGTGGCTGAGCCCTCAAAGCTGATTGTACACTGATCAGACAACTGGCTCAAATGCTTGAATAAGCTGCTTGTGAGTGACCCTATAATCTCCACACAATATATCCATCAGGAGAGGCTTTGGATCTCCTGCTGTCTTGGTCGATCCAACTCTGGACCAGCTGAATGTGATATCTGGCAATTATTTAATATTGCCAAAGAGAAAAGCAGTGGCCCTGTCAGGAAACCTTGCAGGCAGGAAAAAAAAAAAAAAAAAAAAAAAAAAAGTCAAAAGAAACCAGAAAACAAGAGGAGGGAAGACAGCTTCAATGTTTCATAAAGGAATGCAGAAGGGCCTCTCAGGGCCTGGAACTTCTTGCACAAATAATTTCTGCCTGAATAGTGTCTTTGGAGTTGACAGAAATACGTAGTGGGATGTAAGTGGATGTGGAATAAGGTCCTACTAGCGAGGAAGCTTTAACAGACAAATTTCATCAGCTTGGGCATCATCACAGTCAGACCCCAGCTGCTTGCTGAAAGTCCCCGTTTTCCCCTGCAAGGGTGCTAGCAAGGTAGATGGGGAAAATTCTCAGGCTCTTCAGTCTCTCATCTGTTATGTCGGGGTTAACAGCAATGGTTGAGGCAGCTCTGCTTGAAAAGCCACTACAACTGTTTCTGCTGCCCCTTTCAGAGGGGATGGGAAAGAAAGTCGGAGCATAACTTCTTAGATTACCTTGCCAAGACCAAGTTGAAGGCATGTAAAAGGCATTAAAGGCATATAAAAAATGTTAACATGACAAGAGTTATATGATTCACAGAAGGGTAAAAACATGAGCGGTTACATCTTTGTTAAATATATAAAAGAACGAAGCCAAATTACCTTTTTCACAAGTTTTTCCCTGCCAGCCACGTTTGCATTCACAATAGAAGTCCCCCTTGAGATCTTCACATTTGACAGTCCCCTCTTTGTGGCAAGGATCAGGAGAACACTGGTTTGGCAAATCTGATTTGTATAAGCAATAAAAAAGCCAAATCAAAACAGAACAAAACATTAAGTCACTGACAACCAGGAGTTTCACTCTCATTAAAAGTCAAGAGATTTAAACAGAAATGGGGAATTACTATCAGAAATACTCACACCTGGCAAAACGGGAAGCTAATTCTTAGTGCTCACATGTGGAACAAGCCGTGCCAGCAGTTTTGCAGAGCCCATGTAGTGGAATTCATTCCATTGCAAAAGGGAGTGAGCTACCACCCCCATATCTGAAGGGCATGTCCTGAAAGAAACAGCTCAAAGTAGCTAATTTTTAAGAAAGTTAATTCTACTCTTCCTAGCTTTGGAGAAAACAGAAAGCAGGCAGCAACGAAGCATTGCAGGAAGGATGGGTAGTCTTTTCAATTGCTTTTGGTAGTTAAACTGAGGATCTCGCCAGGGCAGTAGATTTGTTGCTAGCAAAGGTTTGTATGGTGGGTTGGTTTCAGTTGGGGGTTGGGCTAGATGACCTCTAAAGGTCCCTTCCAACCCAAAACATTCTATGATCTGAAATTCTTGTCAGAGCTGTCCAACTTAGGCTTCTCTATCATGCAGAGTGAGAATAAAAAAGAAATACCAATGTGTTAACAGTGTAAGAATCACAAACCACTAATCCAGCATGCAGACAGCACAGTGCTCCTATGGGGCCAACAGAGAGTGAAGTCTGCCACTGATTTTTAAGCCAAGTTCCAACAGTTGGCAGTGGACATTCTCCATCGGATTGTAGCAAGAGTAGACCCCATACTTTGGGGCAGACTGGGGGAACAAATATGAAACTACCGTGTAACTACTCAATGACTGGAAGTCACGTGTCCAAATTCACCTACCCACCTATCTGCAAAACACTCAGGGACAGTGTTTGCAGAGATAGCTAAAGGGAGGATCAGAGATTACCCTTGTCCCCACAGAAAATGAACTGGTAGTTAGCAGGTAGTAGTAACCTGTTACACTGGCGTTCTAGATCAGTGATCTTCAAAAAACATAAATGTATTCACCGTTTCCACAACCTTAGCCAGAAGGAGCAGCACAGAAGCACATTCCGTAGGCTGCCAGAGGGCCTTTCTGTTTACGCGTCCCCTCCCAGCAGTGGGGTTCATGAGAGACAGGACACTTCTACAGACCTTCTACACTTAGGTGAACCTTAGTCACAGGCCAGTCTGCCATGGATGCCACCTGCTACAGAGAACATTTGAACCTGACCACAGCCACAGCAAACCTGAAGGAATGAATATTCACAACGGGACTGACCTACACTGTCACAGTGAAGCGGTCAGCCCCACTGTCCTCTGTGCTCACCAGCACTGGGAAGTCCTATCACATGAAGGCATCATGTCCAGGCTCCTCTTCTGATGAACATATCTGGCAATTTCTTGTGCCTGACCAGCTATGTCAGAGTGGGGGTGGCAAAGCTACAAAGCCATGATTCGACCCAGTCCTTTTGGTGAATGATACAGGAATGGTTGGCAGCTGCTGTGGCTAGCAGTCTTTACAGGAAGCACCGCTGTCCATTAACAATACCATCTGCAGTCCTACAATCTCGGCAACACATCCTTACTACTCAGCAGAAACCCAGTTCAGTCCAGACAAAGGAAGAGTTTACAAAAAGTGGACCAGACATGCATTTAGAGCACTCAATCAGCCCCTCTGAAGACCAAGTTTGGTCTGTGATATTGGATTTGCAGTGCAAGAAGCTCTCAGTGGGTGCACGTTAAGCAAGCAGCAGCAGCGAAGACCCCTTTTCATACACTGGTTCTGCAGAGACCAATATTCGGTAGATCAACATCCAGTTCAGACTCTTCAGGGTATTCTGAAACATGACTTCTGAATTGATGGGCATATGGGGTGGTAGGGAGGCATGGAGGGAGAGGAACTGTCTGTAGCCCCAACAGGCTTCTCAAATTGAGAGAAGTTAAGAATTGGATTGACTCCTACTTCTGTCAGGATTATAGTGCTTCTGCATTTGTCTTCTTAACTTCCTCTGTGTGACCCTTGAAATTCATGACAGGCTGCTTTGAGAAAACTTCAACGTTTCTGTGAGTGCGGGCAGAAGCGACTCCCTTTGGTGTCTTACAAAACACTGAACAGCATTTTCGTTTGCACTGACTGCCTTAGATTTAAGTCTCAGTGATCACAGACTGGTTGAGGTTGGCAGGCACCTCTGGAGGTCATCTGGTCCAACGCCCCAGCTTGAGCAGGGCCACCAAGAGCTGGTGGCCCAGGACCATATCCAGACAGCTTTTGAATATCTCCAAGGATGGAGACTCCACAGCCTCCCTGGGCAACCTGTGCCAGTGCTGGGTCACCCTCACAGTGAAAAAAATATTTCCTGATGTTCAGGCGGAACCTCCTGTGTTTCAGGTTGTGCCTATTGCCTTCTGGACTTTCAGTTTGCCTTTTGGACAGCCATTAAGATTGATGCTATGTTAGGCATAAAAATAAGGCAAGAGAATATACTCTGATGTTGGATAGCATTTGTGTTACAGTCATCAAGAAAAAAATAGTCAGATTCTTGGGCTGCACTGCACACTGAATTACCTGAAGACTGAAGTTAGCTGCACACAGTGTTGCAGTTTATTCAGATTACCATGGAGTACTAATTTCATATTTGCTTTACATTTGCCACATTGTACAATACAACGGTTTTCACCACTCCTTTCTCTGTAGGGTATTTAACTGAGCTTTGGACATAAGGACTGTCCGGTGCAAGTTCAACAACTATGACAAACATACCTGTCCACTACGCATATGTTTATAATGAAGACTCCACCATTCTTCTGGAGAGGACTAACAGATGCCAGAAATCAGCAGATGATTGGCAATGGCTATCATTAAATATAGTTTATAGGGCTGAATCAAGCAGGACAAATTAGATGAAGTGAAGGAAGGAGCTCTATAAAAGGTCATAAAGGATCACAAATCTCCACAACTGAAAGAATTTGCATTTCAAGTCGTGATTTCATCCCCCACCACCAAAACACAGCCAGAACACAGTGGTTCCATCCACTCTCTCACTTCAGGTTCTCCTCTGTAACCAGCACAGCTTCAGCCTCCAGTTAGGGCTATGCCATTGAAAAGATAAGCATTTATCCTGAGCCTCAGCAAGGTGTTCCACCGTGGGCAGGGGGAGAGAGGGACAGAGGGCTGACCAGGAACAGAGGGTGACTTGGCCAAAGAAATGCCGATTTTCAGTATTTCATCTTGATGCTCAGAAGCTAGTGCCTGGGAAAACTCTACAGGAAAAGCAGCGGTACACAGTCCTAAGGGCCTTACACAAATAACCATCCACTCACTGCAAACAAGGCCGAATTATCTTTCTTCCTCACCACTCCAGCTGGGCAGAGCTGGGGCAAAGCCACTGCTGAGGTAGAGGCCAGGCCACAGGAAAGAAAACACAGTCACACGGGCTGTCTGCCACAGCCCCCCCTCCAGAACACCTCCCGATAAATCACTGCCCAGTTGACACACTGCTGGAGGTAGAGGAATAGCGGAAGGAGAGGCCAGGTTAAGGCGGAGATGAACCAAACCAGAGCAGCTCGGATCAGCATGTTTCTTTTCCTAGGCAGACCAGAATTTGTGTACAGTAAACAGAACAGTCTAGGTATAGTAAGCCAAGTCTGGTTTTTTGAAGCAGCACAAACCAAGCCTCCCAGACACGGCAGTGTTTTCAAAGTCACTTGATAAGCAAAACAAGTCAACGCAGTTATGTGTGACTTATTTGGAGTACCCTCAAGCTTCTGATTCTTTCCCTCAAACTGGATTCTGATGTGCCTTGAGGAGCCAGATGGAAATAACACCGCCCAACACAATACCACCCTATCGCAACCCATGGCAAATGGCAAGAACAGCCATGGGCATTTCTATCCCTTCAACACCATGCTGATCATTTGCTCCTCTTATCATGAGAGCTTGAGAACATCAGACGCAGTCTGGTACTCTCCTGGTTGCTTCACAGCTGTGTAATTCTGCCAACTTCATAAATTTAAACCATTGCAAGAGAAAATGGAGCTTTTTTTCCATTCATTTACGTGACAGATTTTAGTGAAGCTTATAAAAGTAATAAAGAGCATGACCTTTTTGTGTGCTTTGAGCAATGTCTGATAGCACATATATAGCTCATAAATGCAGGCAGAGAATAGAACTACCAGTTCCTTTTTTGAAGTCTGTATGGAAACAAGACTTTACCAAAGCTGCTTCCAGTTCATTACTCTGTACTGTGAATTTATTTTTTGATATTCACAAAATGGTGCAAATTAAAACTTCATTGGGAAAATGCTAGGTTGCAAGGATTATGACACTCCCTATTAAAAAGCAGACACACACAACCTAACAAGAATCCCATTGTGTGTTTTTTAAGGCCACATGCAGCTTCATTTCCAAAAAATCCTGTAGAGTTTTCCAAACTCTTGCAGAACCAAATCCCTAATTCCCAGCTGAACTACAGGATCGCTTTTAGAAAAAGATGCAGATCTGCAGACGAAAATACAGGTATCTATGTGTAAGGCAAGCATCTATCTGCAAAGCAATCATCTTAAATTCTCATTGCAGTCTGTGGAGATGTAGTCAGTACAATAAACAGAGTCCGTGGAGTGATTCAGCTCTCCCCAAAGCAGAGGCGGTTTGGTCAATGGAATCCCTCTCGAACCACCGACTGCAGATTAACTCTCCATGGTGATGGGAATACTGCTCATGTAGGCACCTGTGCTGGAAACACCTGCATCTACCTCTCTGAATCCAGAGCCAAACCCTACCTGTAACCCTGATCTAAAGATCTGATAAAACTGAGAATATTCACATGCCCCCTAAGCTGTCTAATCACTGTCACAGTCAAAATTTGTACCTTACTTCCAGTACGAACTCGTCTAGTTAATCACCCTCCAGTCCTTGGGTTGTGCGATGTCTTTGTATGCCAGATTAAAAGAGCCTTCCGCTACCTTGTTTTGAAAGGAGAAAGACTGTTAAGAAACAAAATCTAAATGTGTTCTGCAGGCACAACCCCAACAGAGCTACGCGGCCTTTTGGCAGCACCTGTGAAAAATTAAGAGGCACACTGGAACTGGCCAAGCAGCAAGCCTGTCGTTCTTCCAAGCTCGTTTCAGGCTCCATCTCCATTACTTCTCCTGTGAATTGACAACAGCTAGCCAAAACTCAGTCATTTAAAATGTATTAGTGGGGGAAAATATTATAATTTTATTTCCAAACCACTGCATCTGCAATGGGCAAAAGTCCCTAAAAACAATTATTCAGCTTTTATTTTTTTCAGATTTTCTCATCACTATCCTTTAGACTTGCATTTCTGCAACACTATTAGCTGTTTGCAACAAGTGTTCCCAGCTGATACCCCCATTTTCAGCACCAATTTGTGACTCTTTGCCGTGCCACACACATGAGCAAAGGGAAGCGTTCAGCCTCATCTCCCACTTTGAACTCGCTGGTGTACCACAGGTGACACAGGCACCACAGGTCCCAGAATTCCCAGTTCAGAGGGCTCTAACATCCCTAGGTGATACTGCTGCATTATATCAGGGCAGGTCTTGACATACTACTTCTTAACTTTGGAATTCACTCTTCAAAAAAGAGTGCTGAAATTGCTGTAATTCAATTTATGAACGTGAAAGCTCAGCTAAATCCCGATCCTGCTATGGTAGCACTGGTATGAACGCATGACTAATCAAACTTGATCACGGTAAGAGACTGAATCACAGTGGTAGAAATGAAAATAAATATACACACACACATGATTTTTCTCCCCATTTGAAGTGATCTGCTCCCAGAACATATTTAGAATATTTATGCAGCTTTATACCTTTAGCACTGCTAAGCTTCAAGAGGGAACTGGAAAGGTATTAAAAGAGTTCATTAAATTCTGATCTCTAGTGATAATGATGAACCTTCTACACAGATATTGGGTTGACTTCCAAATTGATCTGAATTTTTAAAGGCTGCAATATTTAAAGCACAGTCACACGATGTGTGAAACTGATCTTAATGTAAAGAAGTCCGACACAAGCCTAGATTTGACTGTAAGCTTCTTTAAGGTTCCTTAACAGGGGCAAGCCAAAGTTAGCATTAAAGAACAAAGAAAATGGAAGGCCAAGCATAGTGTACAACCTTCTGGTAAATCCTATTCCTTGTCCCTCTTGCTTCTCAGATTATTCAGACCTTGGGAAAGTGGTGGGAAAGAAACATCTTGCATCATAAAATACCAAAATACTGAAAGATGACAGCGAAATGTCAATAGGCTATAAAAGGGAAAAGGTCTTGTTTCCTTGCTCAGACAGGACAAATGATACAGAATCTCAAGCCTGGAGAATGGGAAGGCCAGTACTAAAATACTATAAAAAATGGAGATGGCTGAACTGGTTCCAATCCTTCAGGTAACACGAGAGAACATTTAACTACAATATACAAAACAAAAATGCTTACTATGAACACATCCATATTTCTGAATACAACCTGAAAAACAGAAAATGAAATTATTATAATGATGGCATGGCAGAAGTTCAAAGCATGTAAAATCATACCTGGCCTGCTGATTCATTAAGCAAGGATCTGGTGGGTGGATGCAAAAATCTATGCAATATTATAATCTCCCAGATGCCTTAAAATTCTTAATTTCATCAAAATTTTTTAGCTGTGATGTACAGTAGAGTTACAAGCCATCTGAAGAGGATGAGCACTTTACCAGATGCTACTATGAGTTTAAAAGCATGTTAGTAGCTGCTCAAATTTGTCCTACTAAATCTCTTTTAAAAAAATCTAAAAAGCACGTGGAATTTTCTAAAACTGTTGGCATTCATGATCTTAAGTACTACATATGAAACACACATAGAAAGCGATATCATGCCAGGACTACGACACAGTCAATAGAATGAGCTAGTGGATCAATCAATAAAGGTGCTTTTATTTTTTTAATAAGGAAATTAGTTAATAGCTAAGTTAAATAAGAAGGGGAAAAGGTAGAAGACTTCAAATTATTTACTAATGCTGCAAGCTACAGCTATAAATGCAACACCAACATTTTAACATGCAGAAAACACAGAAAGGATCTCTGTGTTTAAATCTACACAAAAGTAAAAAACCAAAATTGTGTAAGGAATGCACAGTGTATCTTAAAAGTTAGAAATGCACATTTACTGCAATCAGATTTCCATCACTTTCCTTAGCAGAGACTTCAGCTGTGACAAGCCCCAGTCTTAGGTACCACATACCAGCACTGCCACACAGTGAAAGTAAAAGCTGCAACTCACCCAAGTACTTCAGGTAAAAATATTCCTGTAGGAGGGAGGAAAAAAAAAAAAAAAGCAAAGATTTATTGAATAATATTTCTTTGATTGTCATACTATTTAAGAGCTGCTCTTAGTTTGGTGGTCTTGCACGGCAGCTGTTCAACAAGGTCCAAACACAAACATCCTCATTTCTTTTTATCCAGAGCCAGAAGGAGCAGTCATACATGCATGCTGTCTTTTGGAAAGGAAAGAAACATTAGCTCCAGCCTCAAGGTACATTTTGACAACAGCTGACCTGGTAAGCAGCAGGGACTGAGCATGAAGACACTTACCCACTATCCAAGAGGTAAAGGTGCTGATGGTGGCATGAAGTAGGTGGCATGAAGTAGGGGAAGGAAGAGGAATCTAGGGACAAAACCCCAGAGGGAAAGCACAGAAGCTTTTAGTCACTCCGTGCATCCTCAGAGGCCCTTTGCTGATGCAGAACAGGGGCCAGCACCCTAACACCATAGCCAATAAAATAACAGGGTACCTTTTAATCTTAGAACAACAAGCATCCTACACCTCTAACATAGAATCATAGAATCGTTTAGGTTGGAAAAAACCTTTAAGATCATCGAGTCCAACCATTAACCTAACCCTGCCATCCCACCACTAAACCATGTCCATAAGCACCTCGTCTGCCTGGCTTTTAAATACCTCCAGGGATGGGGACTTGACCACTTCCCTGGGCAGCCTGTTCCAATGCTTGACAACCCTTTTGGTAAAGAAATTTTTCCTAATGTCCAATCATCTAAACTTCCCCTGGCACAAACAGCACCCATTGCCATATTGCCAACTCCATCACATCGTGGAGGCTGTCCACTCAAAGAAGGGAATGTTGCCAGTTTGCGAGGGAGGGCAAATTTGACCTTCATTGGCCTAAAACTGGACTGCAAAAGGCACTCCCACTCCTCTGGTGGTACATGGCCATGTGTTATTGTTCCCTACCTTATGTCAACAAAATGTAGCTGTATGGTGAGAGCAGCAGTTTGCTGATGTGATGTGGATCTAACCTTGCATGTTAGAAAAAATTCAGTCTGGTGAGACCTTGCCAGTCACATAACTGCTTGCACCAACACCAAGACACAACAGGAAAACGCAGCTGTGCTGCTTGGAAGAGTGGGAGATTAGCCTAAACTGATCATTAAACCACATTCTTAAAAAAAATACAAAAATTCGTGGCCAGGAAAAATAATTTCTTTCCAACCTCACTTCATGCTGGATTTCATAATGTATATGTCACTAGTCTGAGTGCTGTTAAAATTGTAATTGGGGCATGCAATGAGGGAAAACTTGCAGATTGTATCAGTGCTTAACTTTTTTGTTAAAATAAACCATTTCTCAGCCAATTATGAAAGCATATGCATAGTATAATTCTCTTTCATACAACATGAGGAATTGTCATATAACGCTGTATCTGCAGTGAGATAGGGACAGTAAATATCCTGTATTCTACAAAATTAATTTGGTCTATACCATGTGCAAAGTTAGAAACTATTAGAAAATATTGTATTTTCTCCTCTTAATGCAGATGTTTGGATAAGTTCGTGCATATATACAGGCATGTACATACAACAAAGACAGGCACACACCGTGATTCAGTTTGACCTGCAATCAATTGGCTGACAAGGTCATGTAAACTAAAGGTTTTGCATTGCTGTCATTCACCAGAGAAATCAATCGCTTCTGGCAAATATGCTCCAGTTACTGAAATGCACCATGTAAACATTCAGCCTAAATCATGAGAGCATCAATAAAGAAGTAGAAGAAGTAGCTTACACTTATTCTAACTTTCAGTTCTGACATGAGGGTAATAGGCTTGCCATCTTTTGGGGTTGAGCTTTGTAATATCTCTTCAAGTTAACAAACTGCGTGAGGAGCTCACTTTTGAATGCGAGATTAAGGCAACTAGTTATTTTCATTGCACAAATAACCTTCCAAATGGAAACTGACTGTATATTGATTCAATGCCAGTTGAACGTCAGAAGAGTGAGACTCCAAGACACTGTACCACCACAAGCTTCATTTCACGAGGTACGTAACAGAGGTAAGTGATTTAAACAGGAGGCTATTAATAGAAATGTAACCCTTCTTTACCTATATCTTCCTCATTTGCTTATGTTACACAAAACTGCTTGCTGATCAGTAGCACTTCTCCAGGCCTACAGGATCAGCTGATAAAACCATTCTAAAATAAAGCAACTTGATTGCAGGTCCTAACATTACTTATTTTTGTATGATTAACTTTTTTTTCCATAATCAATTTTCCTTACAACAGGCTTCTGGAAATACAGTGACAACGTATGTCCATTCAGCCAAAAGTTTAATCAAGAATGTAGGACAAATGGTCTTCCACCTTGAGAAGAGGAACTTGCTTAAGCTGAGAGTAGCAGTCCCTTTTCCAAAAACACAGATGAGAAGTTTTCCTACTTAAAACTTCAAGTTGAGCCTAACCTGCACAGAAAGACAGCCAGACATGAATTATCTCTAGTGGGAGTGCTCAACTCCACAATGCCTTTTCAGTCTTCTGCGCTGTACTAAGTCTTAATGACCCACAGATGTCAGGGAAGATGAAACCCCTATACAGGGTCAGGTCCCTGTTAAAAGCCTGAGACTCATCTGGCCTCCACCAGAAGTCTTCAACTGGATTTTCAGGATCCAGCAAAAATGCCAAGAGAAATACTTTGAGGCTTCCTAACAAGGAGTTAGCAAAGATTCTCTGTTACTACTTTGCTGACTTCCCAGATGGTCGCCTTAAATTTCAGGCTCACTAAACATCTCACCATCCAGAAAGCCACCAAGTATTCACTGATTCGGGATCAAAAAGCATGGGGGTTATTTAACTGTGACCACTGTGGTAGCAAAAGTCACCACAGAATTATAGTAAGTGTTAAAAGTTCAGCCTGGACTCTGGTAAAAGAAATTAACATTTAAATGTTGCCAGCACTTCCCCTATGGATTTGCTTTCCTAATTACTGCTGAAAATAAAAGCAGGAGCAATGGGCTTTTTTAAAGAAAAAGCTATAAACAAATACATATTGGACATAAGCATCCTCTGGATAGGCTGCTGTACAGACACTGACCTCACCAAGCTTGCTAATCAAGCTGTCCAGTAGTAATGTCCCCATGCACGCAAGAGAAAGCCAATACCTTGCAGAAGCACCAACCTCCACAAGAGACCAACCTTCACGAACCTGGGTTTCAACAATTCCAACCTCTGTGTCTGGTCCTACCAAGAAAACCTTCGTGTACTTCCACCCCTGCTTCTTGTAACCCAACACACTTTCTGTCTCTCTGGTTCCCACATAGCAACCGGTACAACCAGGACGCCAGAAGCTTCAGTAGTCAAGGGCCCGGCACCAGGACACCCACAGCCTGCAACCCAGCACGTCGTACAAGTTACACACCACGCATCATGTGCCACCAGAAGTACAGGTCAACAGAGATCTCAAGTGAAGAGAGAGAAATAGGAGAGACTGGGAAGTGCCTCACATCTACAAGTCTCCACCCTTTCAGTGAAGTGGAAAGCACGTCAGGAGGCCAGTCCCTCCAGGCAGGTTCTGGCTTGCTTATTGCCGCTCGGTCCAAGAGACCTTTTTCTCTCTGTCCAGGAGACAGAGCTGTGCTTTAACAGAGAAGATTTATGTTCTACAGCCCTTACCCCTTCCACACAAACATGTGTAGAAGCAAGTCTTTTGATGGATTAAACACAATTATTGGTTTCCACAAGAGTAGTGCAAGACCTAAGAGTGCATGACTTTTTCCAAGTTGGAGTGACACCAAACACTTTTTCATGGCATTAAGAAGTTCCTCTCCCACCTACATCCAGAGCTTATTCCTACCCTTATAACACAGCTGCTATGACACTGTGGGTGTCTAAAATGAAAAAAGAACATACATTTAAAAGTGTCCTCAAAAAACTCAACCCAAACAAACCCCCTCCCAAAATTCCAGTTTGTTTGGTTTTATATTTGTTTTTTCTTCCAAAAGTTAATGCATGCGCCCCCCCCCCCCCCCCCCCCCCCAGTACCCTGCATTGAAACAACTGAGGACAGCAACATGAAGGTCAGAATTCATAGCAGGGCTGTGGAGTTGGAGGGACATGAGTACCTACATCAGCTTCCCTGCCAAAGGAAACCTATGGCATGACTGGGGTCACCACCTATTTTCAACTCTACGGCCAAACTCTCCCTTAGTGTTAAAATCCCAAAGTCAGTGAAATTATACTGGGTATGTGTTAGTCCTGCTGCAATTTTAGAGAAGACTGAAGAACACCAAATCAGAACAGGCGTTAACATGACTCACTGTATAAAAATAGCCCTTCTGAAAACATAACAATGACCCCGTCTACACCAGGAAAATGTTCTCGCTGTTGCTTAAAGTAATTGGCAACACCAGGAACCTCAGCCAAAAGGGCCTGCCAGCTGCTTCTGTTTGTTTTGCTTGAGTACTAGGTCAGGTAAACTTGATCAGCACTGAACCTAATCAAAATCATCTCCAAGCTGTAGTGGTAGCAGATAAAAGACGTCTGTAGGAGGACTGTTCATGTTCCTGGGCAACTGGGTATTGGTGACCCTGCCTGAGCAGAGAAGTTGGACCAGATGACCTCCAGAGGTGCCTGCCAACCTTAACCACCCTGTGATTCTGTGATTCTGTGACTGCAAGTATCTCCCAGATTTGTATTAGCAATGGTAATTTCTAACAAGCACTTTCTTAGTTACCTAGTTACCTCTCAGAAACAGTGGCAACTCCCCCATTATGCCCTTTTCTCATTTCCATATAATGACTCTCCCTTTGCCTCTTTCCTTCAGGACTGAATGTTTGTCTCGGGCATGGCCTGGCCTCCTTGTTTATGAATGTACTTCACATTTCCACACTACAGGCATGCGTTATCCTTGGAAAGAAATGGCCACTACTGACCATGATTGGCTATAGTTTAGCATTTGACTTGGGTGTGCTTTTATACCAGCAGTTGTTTAACTGTATAACCCAAAAATGCAAATC